AGAGCTTTTTATCCATGAAAACAGGGTAATATTTATGTATGTGATGGAATTGTTGTTAAGCTTACACTAATAATGATTTTAAACTCCTCACCAGCCTCAGGCAAGAACAGACACACTTCTGATTACACTGAATAAATAGTAATCAGTAGAAATTAATTTGCCAAACATTGAAAGTGCATCTTGCTCAGGCATATCCCCACCTTTTCTCTGGCTAGGAGTTCTTCTCCAGCTGCCTGTCAAACATGGTTATATCCCTGGCTCTCACCTCCTGTCTGACTACCCATCCTCTCAAACCCCTGGTGGAATATGAATGCACTTCAGACCATCTGTTTCCAGCCTCACATCCATCTAAGTGGATGTTTACATTTCTTTATAGAGCACTTCTGCAGGTCTATTCCTGCTTTAGCTGGGCATTATATATGACACTCAGTTCATTTGTCTAAGCAGACAAGGGAATATCTAGCTCAAGAGTTGGCATCCATTACCCAACTCCAGTTTTTCAAACGTGGTTTGAGTTTATCTTCTATGTTTTGGAAATGGAACTGTAAAATTATTTCCAGTCATTTCTTATGGAATTCAGTTGCACTAAAGCAACAGAAATAACTGCAAAGGCATCCCTACAAAATGCAGCTGACTATGGGATGCTAGTCACATCTGACAGCTGGCAAGCCCTAGAAAAGCTATTAAAAAGCTCCAGGATATTGAAGTCACATTGAACTCAAAGCAAAAAAACCTCAGTAATTAAAATAAGAAAATGATGGCATCCTTAGTCCACTTGATACAACAAAGGAGTTGGTAGAAAAATGTGTCTTAGGGTTAGCTTGAGACAAGGTAGGTCAAGCTTCAGCTCTCCCTCTGGCACAGATTTTCTGCAGGACCTTGAACATGTCCAGCAGGTTCACACCCTCCAGCTGCACAATGTGAGCAGCAGAGGTGACTTCAAGAGCCACTGCTGGAGGACTGCAGGTGTGCCCCATGGCCAGGCCCTCCCGTGTTTCAGCCAATGCTAGTGAGGATATAAGAGATCTCCTGTTCAAGCCTGAAAGCTAATTCTGGCCATGGAAAGCTGGGAGTGCTCCTGGGAACATCCCAGCCAAAGGCAGGTGCTGGCAGGAGGCAGCAACAAGCAACTATAAATCACAGAACCATATAATGGTTTGGGTTGGAAGGGACCTTAAAGATCATCCAGATCCAACCCCCCTGCATGGGCAGGGACACCTCCCACCAGCCCAGGCTGCTCCAAGCCCCATCCAACCTGCCCTTCAACACTGCCAGGGATGGGGCAGCCACAGCTTCCCTGGGCAACCTGGGCCAGGGTCTCACCACCCTCACACTGAGGAATTTCCTCCTCATGTCCAACCTAAGTCTCCCCTCTTCCAGTTTTAATCCATTCCCCCTTGTCCTCTCCCTCCCTGCCCTTGTCCCAAATCCCTCCCCAGCTTTCCTGGAGCCCCTTTAGGCACTGGAAGCTGCTCTAAGGTCTCCCTGGAGTCTTCCCTTCTCCGGGCTGAACAACACCAACTCTCACAGCCTGCCTTCATAGGTGCTCCAGCCCTCTGATCATCTTCGTGGCCTCCTCTGCACTCTCTCCAGGAGGTTCCATGACCTTCTTATGCCAGGGGCTCCAGAGCTGGACACAGAACTCCAGGCGGGATCTCATGAGATCCAAGTAGAGGGGGAGAATCCCCTCCCTTGACCTGCTGGCCACACTAAATATTGTACTATAAGGTGTTCCTCAGCACAGCTGTCTGCAGGCTGCACATCCAAGTGTTAAGACACCACTTAATGAACAGCCAGAGCAGCCTTGAACTTTGCACAAGCTGCAAAACCCCCCAGAGTCAACACCCATCCAGTCCCCGCAGGGCTCTGTCACAGTGAGGGTGAACCAGGAGGAGGAACCAACATCAGTAATGAAAAGCTGCCTAATGCCACTGAAGTGCCCTGATAACCTTTGTTCCTCTGTGCTTTGTTCACCTTTGAGAGAAGGGGAAGTCACCATCCCACCCACAGAAGTGTTTGCTGCACAAATGAGTTAGAGACTGAAGGTTCCTCAGACAACACAGTCATGGCAGCTACAGAGCTGCCCTCAAACATCAGCACAACCTTCAACTTGAACCATAAACAGAAGCTTGAAGGTCTTTGCTGAGTCAATACATCAACACCATTATCTTTCCATCTAGGAACACTGAGCCAGATTGATTGGCTGGTTGATGTTTGCATGAGCAACAAATACAAGTCAAGGGAGTTTTCTATTGATGCCAGACTGATTCTATTTTTAGTTCTGTCAACAACCTGCCAAAAGACCTCGGGCAAGTCCTGTCATGGTTCTGTGCCCCAGTTCTTTTTTCTTTTTCACACAATAAGCAACAAGTAACCACCCTCAAAATGGCTTTTCAACACACAGTATCTTTGATAGGCTCTGGAAATCTTTGATGGAAGCATCTACAAAGCACACAAGGCTCCCTGACAACATCCAGACCAATGAATATGAAAATCTAGCCACTGAGGTCAGCTTGCTGATTTGAAAGACTTTTTGAAAGGGAGAAAGAATGGAAAATGAAGGGCAGGAGGTGAAAAAAAATCCCTGACAGCTTCCTCTTGGCCAAGGTGGACATAGTCCAAAAAATTCTTCATACTTTCTTTTCCTCTCTCCCTCTCCCAGAGGTGGTTTTCTATTGTGCATGTGTTGAATGGTAGGTTTGCTGGAGTTAAGCCAAAGAGAGAGGGAGATGCCTGCCTTTGTGGCCAGAGGAGGGAGGGAGGGAAGGATTTCCTACTGCAGAACAAAGCTGAGTTATTGATAACAAAATCCACTGATTTGCTGACTATTAGGAAATGCTGGCTGGTTTCTTTGCATGTGGGATTCTGCACAAATACTTCAAATTTTGGGGAAGCAATTTGCATTCATTGTCCTTTCTGGGCATCTCCTCTCTCTGGTGTGGAGAACAAGGGATAAGAAGGATCTTTTTTTCTCTCTCTATCTCACTTTCCTTTCCAGCAAGTAGAAAAAAAAAACAACAACCAAAAAAACCAAACCAAAATGCTGCAGTAGGGACTAGGAATTTGGAAGGAATTGTGAGCTTTGGGTTGTTCTTGCAAGCTGCCAAAGTGCTCTGGCCACCAGAAGAGAAAGATGCTGTTCCAACGTACACTCACCATCAGTATGTCTGCTGTGATAGCCCAGTTTGAAAACAGAAGAGTTTCTCCAATAAAAATGCAAATCTGTTGTAACAAAACACACAAAAAAGGAGAAGATTTATTCACTTGACATTCAAAGGAAAAAATAACCTGTCACAAACTTCCCTTTGTTGCTTGGTTGTCTCAAACCTACACAATAAGCTCTTTGTTTCTGTTGGGGTTTATCCTGAATATTAGAAAAGTATAGATTTTGATCAGGGCTCCAGAGGGTTGGGCTGCAACTTCATGAGTGTGAAGTGTTTATGATCTACAGGGCAGGTAAATAAAAGGTTGCCACATTTGGTAGCAGCAGAATATGAGAAGCCAGCATGAAGACACAGCACTAGGCCTCCATATTTCAATCCTTCTGTTCCAAAAAGCCAGTTAGAGAAGGTGAGGGGGCCACAAGTCCCCAGAACACAGTCACTGTCATCACTAGGAATCAAGTGATGTGTTCAGCTCTGTAGCAAACCAAATTGGGATCTCTATCCACTGTGTGGAAGATCCTACCCCCCTCCCCTGATAGCAAGTTATGGCCTTTTGGGGTGGGGAGGCTACAGGTTGGGGCACTTTAACAACTTGAACATTTCATTGGTAACACCAAGGCACAGTGAAGACAGGGCTTAACTCTGGGTGTTGCAACATCAGTGTTTTATGGTGAAGGAGAACCCTTGATTCTGTGGAGGCAAAATACATTAAAAGCCCTGTGTGTGTAGTGGGATGAGAGCTGCTTTTGGGGGTGGTGTGGGATGAGCAGCCACCACCCACCCTTCCCACCCCAGGCACTGCCTCCTCACTTACTCCCATCTCAGTTGTGCTGCTACGACAGAGCCAAGCAGGGATTCAGAGCAGGAAACTGAGATGGGGCAAAGAATCTTTTGCTGGGGGGAGGCAGGGAAAGGGGTTTGTTTTGCTTATTTTTCTTATTTTGGTTCCCTGGTGCAGTTCACTAAATGGCTCCACCAACACTTACAGCTGTTGACCAACTGGAAATGATGAAGGGAAGAAACTCTTAACCTGGCTTCATCATTCACAGAAGTGTCTATCCAACTGAGTCCAATGCAGCAAGGGTGAGGCAGCTCCAGGAGGAACTCTGCCTCCATCCCAAAGCCTGTGATCCATATTTCACTAAAGAAGCTTCTGCTTCTATGCTGCAGGTTAACAATTTCATGAGGAAATGTAGGTTCAACGAGATGGAAAAACAAAGACATAAAATCTTCCACACCTCCTTCCCTCTTCTTTTGTGCATCAAGAAGAGCAGAAAGGACAGAGCAATTAAAAAAAAGCACTATAAATAAATAACCAGACTTGGAAGGACCCTCATTCCACACCAGCAATATGGCAAGCAAAGCTCCATTACCAGATTGCCCCCAAAAGGTTGCTTTTTGCCCAGCTAACCCATTTCTTTTTGAGGCATCTAGAGAGAAAACATTACTCCTGGAATCCCTACTGGTAGTTAAATATGAACAGCTATAGAGATTTGGATTCAGGTAACTGAAGATTCCCCTTTTAATTGCCTTCTGCTCAGTTTTTATTATGTTGAATAGACAACAATTCATTAATGATACAGAGCCAGCAAGAAACACCTGGTACCCTTTGCTCTGAGGAAACACCAAGATGGAGATTGTTTTGTGGTGTTCTGGGGATCTTTGAGGGGCCCTGACAGTCACAGCCACTGCCCCAGCCCCTGTTGTTTGCCCAGGTGCACTTTGGGGTGGGAGGAGGACCTCTGAGATTGGCACCTATGGCTCTGATGTGGCCACCACCACGGTCTTTCCCACACACTGGCTGAGATTGCTGAAACCCTCCAGCCCATCAAGTCACTGCCAAGAATAGTTTGCTTTATTTAGCAAGCCTTACACATTGACCTACAGAAAGCTTCCTCCATTTGTTTCTAAAATTGTCTTTGTTTCCCACACGTTCTCCCTCCCTATCCCCTCTTTTTCTCTGACTGGATCTGCTTCCTCTCTGATGGTGCCTGAGACAGTCACTACAGCCCAGCTGGCCAGCTAGGAAATCTCTTTCCATTTTCCCACTCTCTGCTGCTCTCCCTTCAGTTCAGCTTTCACTGGAAACAACAACTGCCAAGCTAAGAACCACAGATCCCACCAATCAAGGTGCTGGTGGCAGCTGAAGCCACGTGTCGTGTAGCAAGGGCATTTCAGAGCCCCAGGTGGGCTCTGGGGACTTGCTCTGAAATCTGTCCTACCACAGCTTTGCAGCTGCTGCTGCTGGGATTCTGCAGCTGGACAGATGTGTTTGAGCTTGGGAAAGATGTAATTGTGCTTCTGAAGGCAACATCAACATGCCCTGCCTGTTCATACCCACTGCAGGCAGGCAACTGCTTGCCTCAAGGGTGTGCACATCACATCCACGCTGATCACTGAATCATAGGATGGTGAAGGTTGGAAGGGACCTTACAGATCATCCAGTCCCAACCCCCTGCATGGGCAGGGACACCTCCCACCAGACCAGGTTGCTCCAAGCCCCATCCAACCTGCCCTTCAACACTGCCAGGTTGCCCTGGGCAACCTATTCCAGTGCCTGTCTTCATGGTGAAGAATTTCTTCCTAATATTTTTAACCTAAATCTCCCCTCTTTCAGTTTAAAACCATTCCCCCTTGTCCTCTCCCTTCCTGCCCTTGTCCCAAGCCCCTCCCCAGCTTTCCTGGAGCCCCTTCAAGCACTGGAAGCTGCTCTAAGGTCTCCCTGGAGCCTTCTCTTCTCCAGGCTGAACACCCCAACTCTCCCAGCCTGGCTCCAGAGCAGAGCTGCTCCAGCCCTCTGATCATCTTTATGGCCTCCTCTAGGCCCTTTCCAGCAGGTCCATGCCTTTCCTATAAATCACTGAGGTGTTACAAACTTCAGAAAGTACCAGTTTTGAGTTGTTGAATCTCTATTTCCCTCAACATCTTTCCACAAAAATCGTGTTTAATATGTGAGTTCTCGTAAAGGAAATGAAGAACAAGTGGAAGATCAAAAAATAGGACAAAAGATAGTGACATTAAAAAAAGTCTGTCTTTTAGCTGTTAATGGGGATTTATATAAATCAGTTCATCCACTGCAAAGGGCACATGAGGATATGTGGCATTTCTGCTGGAGACTCCAGGGATGCTTACTGCAAATAGGGCAGACTCCAGAATAGATCAACAGCTCCTGAAGTGGCCACAGTTTTAACTCCTGACACACTTTTAGAAGCCTCATTTTACACTGACATTTCAGCTCTAGAGGTATATCCTGTTCTGAACCCACCTGTGTTGTAGAATATCTTGCCATCTCCATTTGGCATCCCTGTTGCTCATCTGTGATGAGCTGATAGAAGATATGTCCCCCCTCAGTGATCCATTAGCAAATTCTCTTTCCCAAAAACATGTTAGTAAAGGAGGTTTTAGAGTGGTCACACCAGCAGCACACTCAGCAGGATCTAAGCAGGTCATAAACTCCTTCCATGGCTATTTGCAAGGTGCCTGACTCTCTACATCTTCATAATTTGTATTTCTCTTTGAAATGGTGGGTAAGTCTCCCTCATGTACTCTTGGAGTTGAAGGAAGTCTCACTCCATCTCAGTGCTGGACAGTGTTGATGCCTCAGAAGTAGGTAGGTCACCACCACCATGTCAACAGAAGGTCCCTGCAGCTGAGCCTGAGGTGCTGTAAAAGCTCCATGGCAAGGTTTTACCCTGGAAGTTGCTGTTTCTGCAATAAAATGTCTTTGAGGAACTGAAATAGATGTTGAAATGGAGGTACAACAGGAACTTGGAAGTGTCAAGAGGAAGGCAAAGCCAAGCATCTCTCTCCAGTCATTTGGAGATTTAAACTAGTCTAAAATCTGCTGTTGAGATGTCTGAGCAGTGCAACACAACGATGCCACACAGCTCGTGGGTTTCAAGAGACAGGTTTGAAACCCAACATTTCAAAGAGCACATATTTCAGAAAGAGTGGGGACTAAAGATAATGCAAATTGCTCTTTGAAGGAGCTGGACTACAAGACACACACCCTGCAAGGAACACAAGATAAGGACTGATTGGACTATGCAGCTAAGCAAGATAGTACAAGACTGAAACAGAAGTGTCAGGGGAGAGAACGTTGTTTTATTCCACCTTTCCAGCCACTTCTACCACTGCCAATAATTTACTGCACTAGCAACAAAAAGACTGGATGGAAAATAGAAGTCTGGCTACCTGCTCCAGGTAGGAGTGGCTGCTACAGAACTGGAATAGCAGCTGCCTTCAGGGACCAAAGCCACCCACAAGACAGGACTGAGCAGGGGAGGAAAGGTACATGTGTTCAGGAGAGGAAGAGAGCAGACAGCTGACAGCCTGCAGGGGACAAGGTGATCATACCAAAGGAGATGCAGGTTTTTTTCCAAATAAACAAAACCCCAAAAAGCCAAGAAATAAAAAAGCAAGGGCTCTGCTAATTCTTGCTGCTGCCAGTAGCAGCTGAAATTAAAAACTCTCAACTGTTACAGCAGGGAGGGAGTTCAGTGGCCACCACAGCTTGTTGTGAGAGAACAGCACCTCATGGGGACCTGTCTAAATGCTTGGGTGTGATAATTTTAAGGCTCTGAGCCAATGAGGGGTCCAAAACCAGTAACCCTTCCATTTTAGCATGGTGAGAGCAATGACAAAAGCCTAAGGACAGTCACAGCATAGAAGGTCTGGAAATACCACCTTAGTGGGGAACAGACCTTGGCTTTCCCAGTCACACAGAACTCAATGATGCTGTTTCAGCATGAAAGGCAGAACACAGCTGTCAAGGCAGGTATCAGAGATAACTTTATTAGATTTAGTGCTCATGTGTCATAAAATAAATTATTTCTAAGATTGGTTAAATAATACCATCTATATTTATATATTTACCCAGTGCAGAACTGTCACATGACTATTAAAAAGAAACACACTAGGAAAAAAGATTAAAATGAGAGAAATGACCACCTTTGGTTGCAAAATTTCTGAAAACTGTAATCCCAGCTTAGAAAGGGAGGACTTTCTGCATACAGAGACTATACACCACAAATTAACATGTCTGTCATCAGGTCTGAGACAGGAGAAAATGAGAGGTCTGGCTGCACAAAGAGGTGGAAGGGATGTGACAGATCCCTTCCCTCCAAGACTCCATGAGAGGAGGGTTGATGCTTGGCCAACCAGTAACACCCTCTTACAGGTTGTCTGGGGTGATCATTCTTCTGCTGATCACTGAATCAAAGGTTCCCCCAAGAATGTGCCACAAACCAGAGGACGGAACCTCCTTCTGACACTTTCTAAATAGCCAGAGTACATTCTTGGTTCTGTCTTCAGGTTTTTAAACTTTCACCCTTCCTCCTTGTACTTCCCCATGCTAAGGGCAGCTAGTGAAATACTCAGAAAATAACCCTGGCTGGGCTAGTGCTAGAAATGCAACGACAAGGAACTGCAGGAGGGTGGCTGGCTGGATAACTAAAATAATTCTCCTTGCTGGGTGAAGTGTGCTCTGCAGTGTGGAAGCTAAAGGACTGGCTTACAGGAACTATCCCACTACTCCAGCCATCTCAAGTTTCCCTTCAAAAACTTTTCCCAGGTGTCAGGCTTCTCCCTGTGACATTGACAGGGAACCTGGGACCTGTTCAGGGCACTGGATTTCTACCCTCTACTGAAGGCAAGATTCTAGCCTGAGGCTGGGTTATTATACTTGAGTATTTCCTTTTCCCTTCAGTCTATTGGTCTGGGTCTATCTGATGTCTTTTTATATACTTTGATTAGAAACACTCTGGGAGGGGCCCTATTTTGATCTGCATTTGTGCAACCTCAATTATTGTGGTTTCCTGGGCTGTGACTTAGGACTTTCAGGTGCTATGGCAAGACAGATAACAACAAATTGGAATCACCTGATAATTACTATTGGTCTGCAGCAAGTTACCTATCTATGGGAATTAATAATGCTTACAGGCAGCCAAAAGCATGCCCACAGACAAATTACACTGTAATTTGGTACCACTGCAGCTACAACACCCTTATGGTAAGGGAAGTGGCCAATTCTCCTGTATCAAAACATCAGGCAAGAGCAACAGAGGTACAGGCAGAGGTGTAGACAGAAGCACCCAGTGGCAGGGAAAACTCTGGCTTTCCACACACACCCTAACTCCCCAGCTCTAAATTCTGATGACAGTTAGCAAGGGGATAAGCAGCTGAGATACCATTTTCCCTGCAGGCACATCTAGATTGTGCCAAAATGGCAAAATGCAGGACATTCAGAAGGGGAAAACCAAGCCCACTGTCTCAGGCTTCCTGCAGGGACAAGGCACAAGTCTCCTAAGGAGTCTGGTAGAGGGAGTGAGACTGGCACATGCAAGGGATTATACTTACATAGGCTCCCACAATGCTGCTCTTGGCAGCCACAAAGATGAGACAGATGAAGATGGCTGACCCAAGCATGCCAACAGCACAGACAAGAGGATCAGCTCGCTGGGTTTTTAACCGGCACCATTTGGTTGCTCCAGCCCCTGTGATCACACCCAGGAAACCAGTGAAGCACGTGATGGCTCCGAAGATCAAGCTATTCAAGAAAAAGAAACAAAGAGACAGTTATTTTTTTTTGGGGGGGGAGGGAGTTTTCCCCCAAATAAGCATGGACTTTGAACAAATTATTAAGAGTGAACCAGTTAATGGAAATCTGCGTGTTGGCTTTGCAAGTTTAAAACAAAAGAGCTCCCTGCTGAGTGCTTGTGATTCCAGCTCCCTGCTGCCCCCCACGCTGGGGGAAACCTGCAGGTGACACTCAGTCTGGTACACAGGCACTGATCAACACACAAAGAGATGCAAAGGGCTCATACTGCTTCTTTGTGTGGAGTTGCACCTCCTGTCAAGAGCACTGCACTGAGAAGAACCTGGCTCCATCCTCCTGACACTCACCCTTTACATGTTTATAAACACTGATGAGGTTGCCCCTCAGTCTCCTCCAAGCTAAAGAGACTCAGCTCCCTCAGCCTTTCCTCATCAGGGAGATGTTTCACTCCATCATCTTTGTGGCTCTACACTGGACTCATGTTTATGTGGAACCTCCTGTGCTCCAGTTTGCACCCTATGCCCAAACCTAAGTAATAACCTGCACATCCATCATGTAAAGGGAAATCGTGGACAGAGCAGGGAGCTTAAGGGAAAGAAAACCTAACAAGGCTAAATACCAGTGACTTCCAATATACTCTGAGCTTCCAACTCCTTTCAGACCACTTCAAAGAAGCCTGATTAGATCATTTTGCTGTTACGTTACACGTTTGAAACGTGTTAATTGAAAATTAAAGAGCCAGGAGTCGTCACGGATTTTCCATATTGCATGTGCAGGGCTTGGATGACAGAGTCTTTGGCAACCACATGAGAGAAGCTCCAGGACAGCTCCCAAGACAGGTGTCATCAAGGAGTGGAAAACTTTCTTTGTAAACAGCAGATGGGCAGTCTGACTGGAGCTGCATTTTCTGCTCACCACATCTTTTGCAGAAGGGACTGAGACTGCCCACTGGGCTCCCTACTTGATGCTACTCCAAATCCCTAAGTAGTTTGCTTGAGATGGGACTGTGTCAGCTACAGCAAGAAGGTTTTCCTAATGTTATTTTTCCCTTCCAAGCTAAAAAGCAAAGGGGCTGACAAAAGGCAGGGTTTTTTTTATATTTTATTCACCTGGATATATGCACTTTTTTTAGCATTTTATGTTTTGTGCCATCATGGGAAAGCACAAAATGATTAATTACTTTCCATAGCTTATGTGCTGCAGATGAAATTATGTAACTGGCACTGAAAAACCAAGCCACCCTATAACATGGAGCCATCCAGACCAATGCATCCCAGATCCCTGCACCATTTTTCAGCAAAACTCAGCACCCACAGTGATGCACAGAGCAATGGAACACAGTGAAGTCCCCCTTCACACAGGAACTGAAGTCTTCAGGATGGGCAGCCTTAGGAGAACCCTCAATTACAGCAACCACCGTGGCTACACAACCTGCCAGCTGATCCTCTGCTGGTTCTCTGCTATCACTGACAACAGCAGGGGTGTTAAGAAACCAAATTCTCTCCCAGCTCTCCAAGCATCTTGTAGGATAAAGACATCAGTCTGATTTCTGCTTCTGCACTATAGCCTGGGAACTAAGACAGAGCTGAGGTCATTGCTTGTCCCTTGGTCTGACTTCATGCCATGAAGAAAAGAAGAGAAATAAAACCTAGTTTACAATCGCAGCATTTCCTGTCATTGTTGCAAAGACCTAGAGGAAATTACAGACATTCTAGTAACTTGACTCCATGGGACTTGCCTGTTTCCTCTAGTAAATAAGCCCTCACCCCTTTTTCCCCCCTCTTTAAAGCAGTGGAGTATGAATCCCACCTATCTTTGGTGCCACAGGGCTGTGAGCTGCAGGTCTCTGCCGTCTTCTGCACCACCTGTGCTCTGTGAAGGTAGAGAGGGATCCACATGCCAAGGGCCCCTGTGGCAAAGGAGACAGCTGAGGTGGCCAACGAGGAGAACACGTAGCTGCGGCTGTGGAGACACCAGGGGCAAAGCCAAGAGAAGGTTTAGAGGGAAAAGTGAAAGAGCAGGAGCCAGAAGCTTGTGCTTCACTGACAAAACGCAGTGCTCCCCTGTACCAGCCACCTCCCTTTGCCAAGGGCACAGAGAATACAAGGTACAAAGCAATGAGAATGAGAGACATGGAATACTTCTTCATACATGATGTTCTATTGATAATAACACACTTTACCTCGGAGCTGCTTCAAAGAGGCATGGGAATGTTTTCATGGGAACGTTTCAGAAGACCATCAGTCACTAAGACTTTCATAGAATCATTAAGGTTGAAAAAGACTTTCAGGATCATCAAGTCCAACAGTAACCCAAACACCACAACCACTCAACTATATCCCAAAGCATCACAACCAAACACTTCTTGAAACACCTCCAGGGATGGTGACTCCACCACCTCCCTGGGCAGCCCATTCCAAGGCCTCATCACTCTATCAGTAAAGAAATTTTTCCTAATATCCAACCTAAACCTCCCCTAGCACAACTTAAACCCATTTCCTCTTGTCCTATCACTGGTTACTTGGTAGAAGAGACCAACACCAGCCTCTCTACAACATCCATCCCTTCAGGTATTGCAGAGAACAAGATCTTCCCTCAGCCTTCTCATCTTCAGACTAAACAACCCCAATTCCCTCAGCCTCTCCTATGACATGCCCTCCAAACCCCTCACCAACCTTGTTGCTCTTTACTGTAATATCACCTGTTTGTCTGGATTTCCAGTGTCCCATCTCCCTCCCCATCCATGCCACCATATGATTACTACTCGGATAAACTAACAAAAAAATGAATACAGAAATACTGATAAATCAACCATCATCACTTCTCATACTCCTTTGGTAGTGGATGACAACACCAGGAAGGCATTTTAGCCAGTAGTTCTAAAAATGAAGGACACCATTAGTGTCTGGTCAGAATTCTGAAGTAGCACTGAGTCCACAACAGCAAATATTTGCACATTTCCAGGCAGCTTTCTGGAAGCAAGTGCAGCTGCTTAAATACTCATGAACATGTGATCATTTGTCCACATATACAAACACCCAAGGACATTCAGTGCTCATGAATTCAGTCCCATGTGGCTGTATAACATACATAAACTTGCCATGTAGTGCAAGCTTTTGTGTATTTTCTCCTCTTCAATTGCTCTGGCATTTAACTCCCTCGTTCACCTCAGCAGAGCTGCTCTTTCAAGGAGGAAAAAAGGATCTGAACAACAGTGGCACAACAATTAATACAGGAACACAGCAATTTATACACTTCAAAAGCTTTGATTTGTCTGAAGTATGAGCCAAACAAAGCAGACTCTCTCTTAGATCTCAATCTTGGAAAGGTTAGAGCAAAAGCTGAGATCCATCATTGTCACTGCGGTCAATACCTTGTGAAAATACAACTGTGATTGTCTTTCCTAGGTCCAACTTCCCTGCATGTCATCACTTTCCAGTCTTACTAAGAATTACTTGGCATTGGATGTTCCAATTAAGCATTAGAGGAAGGCATGCTTTTGACTAGAGTGCTCTTACTTTCTAATTAGTGCTTTCATGTCTCTTAGCCATGAGGTCCGAGCCTTCAGCTGCCCCCCAAGTTGTTCAACATTTCCTCTTTTAGCAGCAGGTACAAATATCAAGATGAGCGTCCCTGTTATCATTCCCAGGAGTGGAGATACCTGCAAAAAAGGATCAGGGAATTAGCACAGGAGTCAGCAGGGTTTGCTTTGACTGGTCAGGAAGAACCAGATTACATTAGTTTCATTCCAGCCACTCGATTCTTTACAGCAAGACAGACCCTGTGAGCACACTGAGGCATCTGCTCCTTCCCTTCCTCTCTGACATTCCCTGAACTCTGGAAGCAGCCTGGAGAACACTCTGGTTAAGGCAGTCCATTTCTTTGTGTTAGTAAAGTACCAAGATTCACCAAAATACAGTTCTTCACTCATGTTTAACACTTTGGAAAGCTCTTCCCAGCTGGGCTAAGAAACCAACTATTTTCTGGTGGAGCACAGAAGCCTTTGAGAAGCAGTGAGACCAGGCAAGAGATTTCTGGATGCAGGGAGCACGCTGGATTTGAAAACCCTTGCTTGACATGCATCCCTCTTCCAGCTTCCCATTTTCAGGCAGCTTCAGTGTACAGCAGATCAACAAACATTGACAATCCAGGCTGGATGACAGGAAAACAACACTCCCAAGGGTTAGTTAGGTTTCCCAGTTGCCAATCCTTTCTCCCAATCACTAGACAAAACACAAAGATCCCACATTGTTTTGCAAGCTCCAGACACAATTCTTGTTTTGACAGTGAAATTCCATCATTGTTAGAATGGAAAAGAGCTCTGTAAGGAAAATAGGAACACTCTTCTACACGTGCTATTTTAAAAACAAATTCCTGATTTAAAAAAAAACAACCCACAACAAAATCTTCATAATAACCTGGGAACAGCCTGTACACATAGAACAATGTTCCAGATCCAGAGATGGCAACCCAGAATTCTTCTAGGGAAGGGAAGATAAGACAAAAATATTTCAGAACTAGAAAGTCATTAAAGTCCCTTGTCCAGGGAATACAAGACACAGCACTAGTAAAAAAAAAAAAAAAAGAAATCCTGGGATTTTCTAGGGCCATATAATTTAAACTCTCTTTGATATTTATCTAAAGGCTTAATCCTTTGACAGGACAATATCCATGGATACTCAGTAATGCTCCAGTGAAACAGTGACATTAGTGTTAGATCCAGAGACAAAGCTGCCACTTGCCAATGTGCCCTTCTGCCTTGTTCAGCCCCGTCAAGTACAGATGATTCCTGCCCTCCCATGGATTTGGAGACCACAGGAGATCACAGAGGGAAGCCTTCACATCTTGCAAGGGCACAATGACTGCCACGGGGATGGAGGCTGCTTCACACTGATGTCTGAAAGCTTTCAACATGTGTTCTTTGATTACAAAAGCAAAGCAAGGCTGTCCAAAGCTACCATCAGAGAAGTGTGCAGCTTGTCAGGCTCCCCATGATTTTCCACGGTCAGGGAATCACACATCAACATGTCATTTATAGTGGAAATGATGACCCATAAGAGAAACAGTCTTGCAGATAGCCTGGATTTCTCAGCATGATAACTATGGAGCCTTCAGTGGAAGAGAAAGATGCTCATGAGGATTTCTTTGCACAAATTAATCATTTGAGTTTTGGGTAGAAACACAAGAGCCCTCCAAAGTGTCAGCCTCATTAAAGCCCATGGACCAGGGGGAGGGGCTCTGGGGTTTCCTATTCCTTGGGCTGGCCTCTGCTCACAAGTTAATTTTACCCTTAAGGTATTTGTGCTGCTGAATGAAGCAGCCACCCTCTTGGTGTGAAGCTGCAGGCTATTAAACTTTTCATTTCAGGTTCACAGCTGGAAACTTCTCTCCACTCTCCTGACTGCAGATGAAGTGTTCATGGTGATTTTCCCCAGCTTTGCTTATCCTTGCTGGCCAGGGAGGGAATGGGCTTGTGTCACAGAAGGGGCACATTTGCTTGAGATGGGAACTCATATATCTCATCACCTGCTATTATAACTGGTATTGGCCTGAGCTTCATGAGATTCTTTGTCTTCACCAAGTGCCAGAGGCAGAGAATGCACCTCGTGGTCAGAACCAAAGGTCAGAGAACAGTTCTGCTGGGCCACTTCCTACCAGCACTTTCAAGACATCTTTGTCTGCAGGATCTGTTTGTACCTATGTGATTGGAGTGTATTATCTTTTCAACACATTTATCAAGGTCCCAAGAGGTTAAAATAGAAGGAAACTGACTGTCTCAGGGCAGAAAAACAAGCGGAAACTGGAACAAAGTGTTTTTTCCTCAAAGCAGGAAGCCATTCTCAGAGTTTCTTGACAGCAGGGGACTGAAAGGCTGTGGAGTTGATTTAAGGCCAATGCCTCATCTTCCCATCCTCATGAAGAAATCATGGCTGACTGATAATAAAGTGATTGGAAAATTCTTGCTACCAGAGAGGGGAAGAAAATAAGTGCATGAGCCAAACCCATGTACCTCTCTGATTAGGGAATGAATCTGCCACTCACTCAATATCCATAAATGTGCTTCCCAATCACAGAATCAATAGAATGGTTTGAGCTAAAAGGGACATTAAAGATCATCCAGATCCAACCCCCCTGCATGGGCAGGGACACCTCCCACCAGACCAGGTTGCTCCAAGCCCCATCCAACCTGCCCTTCAACACTGCCAGGGATGGGGCAGCCACAGCTTCTCTGGACAACTTGTTCCAGTGTCTCACCAGCCTCACACTAAAGAATTTCCTCCTAATGTATCATATAAATCTTCCCTCTCCCAGTTTTAATCCATCACCCCTTGTCCTCTCACTCCCTGCCCTTGTCCCAAGTCCCTCCCCTGGAGCCCCTTCAGGCACTGGAAGGTGCTCTAAGGTCTCCCTGGAGCCTTCTCTTCTCCAGGCTGAACATCCCAACTCTCTCATAATCCTTCTACATATAATAAGAGGTGGAGTAACTGTGACAAAACTCTTCCTAGCACTGATCAGCCAACACAGCTGTCATGACAATGCAATGGGGAGTGACTTACCCTCAGTGCCCAGTGCCAGTCTCCAGCAACCTGCTTCACACTTGACCCAGTGATGTACCCCAAGCCACTGCAAGGAGCACAAAGATGAGAGTCAGAGCTGTTCTCAAATATAAAAAGAGATCACAATCACTTGTGTGTCCTAGGCTTTCTTCTCCTGTGGGAAGAAAGGGTGGATGGAGCTGAGGATGGTTGGCATGTAACTCTTCCCAGCACTGTTGATCTAAAAATGCTCAAATTCGATGGAAATTCAGACACTGATCTCACATTTATAGCTGACCTTTCAATCTACAGTGGATAGAAATACAGCCTCAGAAAAAGAATTTATTTCCCCATTTGATTTCTACATCAGGCCTTTCTGGGCAGTAATACAAATACTTGATTTTATGTTCAAGCTTGCTGTTAAGAAGTGCCCTTCAAGGGCACACCATATCCCTGCCATTTAAAGATTGTCCTTGCCATTTAAAGATACTTGGCTCTAATTACTGATGAAGAAACCACTTTCCATAAGCTTATTGAAAAACCCCAAAAGAATATGAACATTCTGCTAAGTTTGAGAGGCTGTCATCTATTATCACCCTCCAATTGGGCTTTTTACACAGATGGACTTCAAAAACCAACCATGGATCCAAACCTCTGTTGGATATTGAGATAATTAAGTCCCAGAATTGGGCTTAACAGGATAAATATTGGTCATTTCTTGCTAGTCATAGCTCACTGACTTCTCTATGTGAATCCTTAGCATCCTTGGCCCTCTTGGGAAAATATTCTTTTCACCAGGTAAGGATGTGACTCTCTTTCCTTAAGAGCAAATGGGTGTTTGTGAGTTTTCTCCTAGGGGTGAGTTCTCTAACTGTTAAAAGGCACCACCCTAAACCAGAAGGTTTTGTCCCCCCCGAATCTGGGAGTGTTAAACTGCTGCCCTTGTTTTCTCTGCTGGAAATGAACACATGATGCCACTTCTGCAAAGGATGTTGTCCATCTCTGGGAACAGGTATGGAAAATATGTCAGCCCACCCTGCCTACAACTTCACAACACAGCGTCAGTTATTATTTAAAAACAACAACAAATCAGAGACTCCCTCCTGTCCCAACAATCACAAACTGCATCGGGGTGATAAGTTGACACAAGTGAAAGAAATCACCAGAGGAAATAACTGCTCCAAATCTGAGTCTGTTGCTTCCATCAAGCATCTAAGGGCTTGGCTATCCTCCACTGCTCTGTGTCAAGACAGAGAGGGAAAGATCATCACAGTTCTTCTCTTCAGCTTTCCCTGCACAAGACTTGACCATTTCTCCCCATTGCTGTTCCAGTGGCCATAGCTCTAACACAGACTGCCCATTGCTATTGCAAATGCCAAGACATCTAACACTGGCTCAGCTGCATTTTACTAACTTGAGTCAGTTTGCCCAAACTGAAGGTTGTGCAGAATTTGAGCTCAAACTAAAAATATTTCTAGAAGTCCAAATTTCAAGTTGTGTGTGTTACATAGCACACTCCTTTTGAAGCCTGACATGTAGATGGTCACACACAAGTGGGTCCCTATTTGTTCCCTTTTGAAAACCCAGCCCAGTGTCTTAAGAGCTCTTGATTTCACAGTAACCTGAAAGGCATTGCCTGAAGAAGGCCAAGCCTTCAAATGAATCAAAGCAATGATTCAGAGAACCAACAGAAGATTATTAAAAAGGATAGTTTTAATTTAATCATGCTAAAAAAAAACAGCTAATATATTTTTATTCCATTTCCCCCTGTTGCTGTGAAAAAAACCCCTCCCCACTCATTCCCAAAAGTCACACATGAAACAGTAACAGGGCTAGAAAAAGAATCCAGTTCCTGCAACTAATTAGTCACTGCTCACAATATTTTCCTGTCTTAACCATTCTAACCAAAGGCACAAGAACTATCAGCAGCAGCAACTTCAGATCTGTGTGAGCTTGCTTTAAGAAAAGAGCCAAAACCAGATGAGAGGAGCATTTGGTCACTTACCTGCCAAGAGGAATTGCAAAGTAGAAAACAGACAGCATGAGGGTCCTAGTGTTTTTGGTGAAAAGGTCTCCTATGATGGTGGGTGCAATAGTGGAGTAACTTGCTTCCCCGATGCCAACCAGACCTCGTGAGAGCACAAGCAGCCAGAAATACTGAGAAAAGCAAGCAAACATGTTAGTAAGTCTCCTCTTGTTGCTTTGAAGGCAGTGGACAACAGTGAAAGCTGCACAAACAGGGAAATATAAACTGATGTGACTGGAAACTGGCCCTCTAGGATGGGTTATTTAAAAAAACCAACAAACCTCCAGACTCTTTTCATTTGTCTCTTCCTGGGGAGGAAAGGGACTATCTTTTGGTGAAGACTTGTAGACGTAAAAGAAGAGTAGTAATAATACATGTGAGTGACATTCAAGAATGTCACTGGACCCTTAGAATATCAAGAAGATATTCTAAGGCAGGTACAGGAGCCTCAGTCTGTTCTCAGAGCACAGCTCAGCCTTGCTAAGCCCAAGTGCCAGCAGGCTGCACCAAATGGGGAAGGTCTGGGGAGGAGGGCAAAGTGTAACAACTCCTGCCCTGGGGCCCAGAAGAGCAATACCTGCTGAGCACCATCCCAAGCTCCCCTGCATGCCAAGGGACAAGTTAAGACTGCTGAAATCCTAGAGGCTCTTCAAAACTGTGAAAGAGTTGAACCTGCAGTCCCCCAAACTCTTGCTTTTCTTCCTTAATCAGAAGCTGCTGAACAAGGGAAGTTTTCCAAATGTGCTGAGCACTTATCTCACCCCACTTACCCTGGAAAAAAAACATGAACCTCCCCCTCACAGCAGGAAGGCAGAATAAGCCAACACTGAACACTTCTGAAAAACCTCAGTTACAATCTGGGCTGAGATGCACCCAGTAAGAATCACAGACTGGTTGGGGTTGGAAGGGACCTTAAAGATCATCCAGTTCCAACCCCCCTGCATGGGCAGGGACACCATGGGAATTAGGGAGAGAGGAGACTTGAGCTGTACTGTGAGCCATGGGAACAGCAGTGTGCTCCTCAGCAGTAGCACCAGGTATATGATCCAGGACCATTTAAGGCACAAGTGGCAAAAGGCCTTAAGCTGCCCAGAGAATAATGTGTCCCTCTGAGTAAAGGGCATCTCAACAGCATGAGGAGAGGCCCTTACATTCAGCACAACACAGCCCAAGATGGACATAAGGGAATGGTTCATCTAACCCAACTTTCTTCATGGCCCAATCCCCTATTTCAGCCAGCACTTTCCTCAACTGCAAGGACCTGATTTTCTAGCTGACCTCTTCCCCTACACTTGCACTTTACTAGGAGCTGCTGTGTGAAGGCATAAGGCACCATACTTTGATGCCTAAATGCCTGATAGATGAACACAATCAAGTTCTCAGACATCTAAGCAGTTAGAGCTACACCCAGAAATAATTGCAGGTGCAGAAATTAAACAGTCAATTGCAGAAAACTGTAAAGACAGGGAAATCTGTTTCTACAAATGTAGCCTCTACAAATTCCATTTTACTGTTATTATTCTAGAGAAGGTTTGTGAGAAGAACAGCAGGGATTCTGATACATCCTTAAGCATGAAAGTGGTTTGAGAAGACTGAGCAGTTACTGATTCCCCTTCTACAGATGGGGAAAAGCCGAGTTACAGGGAAGTGACTGACTTTGTGCCCTACAGCAAAGCTAAGCCAGAATCCAGGGCTCTCATTCTCCAGTGGAAAATGACATCAAGACACGTGCCTCAGTCATAAATACATCCACAAGCAGACACAGACCCACCACTGACACATGTTCATTGTCTTCCTCACTGCAGTCCCCTGGTTGAAAAGAATTTCTGGAGGATTCCTACAGTCACACAAAACAAATACTTTTCTGCACTCTTCACTTCCTCTTCTTTTGATGTCAATTCTGCCCTGATACCTGTTTTCTGAGTGCACACAAGTTCCTTGTTTGCTGGCAGGGTGTTTGCAGAGCTGCTGCCACTCACAGGTCTCCCAAAAGCTGAACGTACGTAAGAGGCACCCGTGGGTGGATGCAGAAAGGGCAATGCTGTGACTCAAGCCATTACATTTATGCCAATTACCCACTGCCAAACTACTCCACTGCAGAAATATGCTGACAATGATTGGTGCACAGGTAACCAATGTATCTGGAATGGGCAACAGTATTTAAAACACGCTGCATGACTTAGTCACACAGAATTAGAAAGCGAGGGAACTGGAGGCTGATTTTCTTTTATTAAGAGGTTCAGGTGTGGATCAGAGAGAGGGTGGCAGGCAAAATAGTCACCTGCCAGACCTGGAATGAGTGTGTAGGCAGTGCTAGTTACACCTGCAGTATGAGAAGATGGCAAATCCACTGAATGTTCCTCAAATTTGAAATACTTACACCAAAATGACACAAGTTTGAACTCACCAGCCAGTATCACTCCCAGTGGATACACTGGAGAGGAATTTCCTCCAAGTAATGCTGTAATATGATTCTTCTTACCATCCCTCCATAAAGCAGGAAAACCACACAAGATTTCCTTTTGTGGTGAAGAGTGACTCGGTTCCCTCATTGAATCAGAGTCCCAGTACAATTAAATCACCTGCAACAAGTAACATGTTCACTCTACTCTGCCAGTTCCTCCTTGAATCCTCCTCCTGGTCTTACCCCCATGCTCACACACTCCAAGTATATTTTGAATACTGAAACTGTGTTCCATGAAGCAGCAGTTTCCATGCTGGAAACATGAGATTCTGCCTTCAGTTGGAAATAGGAGCAGTCTTAGAAAAGCATAATCCACATAAAGACATGGATGGCCTTGTCCTCCCAAGATGATGAAGAACACAAACAATGTGGCTATTTAGGTGTAACTAGGCAAAAAGTCTAAAACAATATTAGGCAATTATTTATAATCAGTTCTATGTTGTGCCTGGTTTTGGAGCTCAATATTTAAGATTAAAGAGCTAATACCTCTTCTTATCCCATTGAAAGGCCTCTTCTGATCTCTGACTAGCACACAGACTATTGGAACCTAGACAACAAGCCATGCAGTAACTTGTTCCAGTAGGTTAGAACCCTCAGTCTTCCATCTCTGGGCAGTCAGTCAAAATTTAAGTTTTGATCATCTCTGAAAAGGGACAGCAGGGTAGCTCCCCAAGACAAAAAGCTGTCCTCTCAGAGAGAGGCCTGATCTTTTCATTTTTCATATAGGAAGAAAAAAAATGCAAACAAGAAAACAACTCCAAAATTCTTATGTTGCTACTCATTTGGACCACAGACATACCATAAACCACTTGGAAACTGGTCCCAAAACCACTGTGTGTGCAATAGAGACAACTGCTGGTTTGTGTGTGTGTGTATTTATATACACATGCACCCCTGTGCACATCTCTGAGTGCCTGTGAACATGACAACCAACATAAACAAATGGGAAAGTGGGGTGTTGCCCATGTAGAAGCAGCTCTGTTCTCCTCCTCAGAGCTAGCAGGACACTTCTACCATTTCCTCTGCACCCCCCAAGTGCTTTTTGCTCTCTCCTACCCCAGGATTTTCAGCAGTTTAGTGAGACAAAAAGGGCTGACATCAGGCAAATTCTTCTCTGAATTCTCTGTGCTTAAAAGCAGCACAGACAGCTAAGACTTAATTTCACTGTTCTCCAAGCAGAAATGGAGAAATGTTAAAGCAGTTTATTCCCTTCTGCACTACTTTGGAGCATTTCTGTAATTTGTTCATCTGTGCAAATAGTTCTCACTCTGGCAGGAAAATGGAAAACATCTCAAGTCAGCTTTCAGCACCTGAGCTTATTCCTTTTCCACAGGTTAAGCCCAGCAACCTCAGTACTTTCATGTCTTTTCTCTGGGTCAGTGCTTGCAACTGAAGTTTTTTGAAACAAAGAACTATTAGGGCAGGCAATGTATTTATGTCTTTAATTTTGGTTAGCAGTGACATCAGAAATGTCTGCACCTCCAGGAGAGCTGCCAACATCTCCTGGTTTGTAGAGATGCAGTGGTTTTCTTCAAATGCCTGTATGGCAAAAACCCCCCTCCCTGCCTCTGCTGCAGCCTCAGGAGCTACAGAGATAGTGGCCATCACATCCTGCTGCACCAGAGCTCCTTGGCACCACCTTGGCCATGGACAGCTGGAGAGGGGCTACCCTAGGAATATCAAACCATACACTGAGACTGCTATGAGTTCTGGGAGCAATTTAGGATGCAAAGGTGCTCAGAGCCCCTTTCTCCAACCCATGTGCACCACAAAGGGGCTGATAAGACACAAGCCAGAGAAGACTCCAGTACACAATCCACCATCAACATACAGAAGGGATGGTGGCTGACAGAGACCCAGAACTGCCACAGGCTTCCTGGTGGAACAGGTGCCACCTCTTCACCTTCCCCTCAAGAGGTCCCACCACCAGAACCTATGGCACAGAGAAAGCTTTCATACATGTGTGTGTGAAGTAGAGAAGTCAAGGGTCCTGCTCTTTCTTCCCACCTCTTAACTCTTGGGAAGGAAAAACATTCCCTAGTTCCAAAGCTGAAGACTCTGCTACTTTGCAATTGAAGACTAACAAACTCAATCAGAGAAGAAGCTGGGTCCAAAATAGACATGAGTTTTGGAAGGGGTACTAATCCTTATGCCTCAGGGAATGCACCCATCACTGAGAGGAATGCACTACCTACTAACTTCTCAATTTCTTAAGCTATCAGCAAACCATAGGAAACAGCAGAACCATCTGGGCTCAGATGGACCTGGTCTGATCACTGTTGTCAAAGGCACTACTAGAAGTTATAGGTGTAACACGATCCATCCAGAATTTTAATCTGGAAAAAGCTTTCATTAATTAAATTAAATATTTACAGTATGCAAAAAAAAAAATAGTTCATGTGTTTTCTCTGCAAAGTATTTCATGGTTTACATTCACATTTTCATATTGACTTTACTCTCATGCAGACAAGAATGTTTGATGGCCTAGGACACGTGACCAGCTGTAATCATGTTTGGACAAACCTCCTAATTATACATTTATCCTACTTGTATAGACCACTGAGTGAGTAATACATATTTTAATAGGTCTAATTACAGCCTTAACTTCTTTCTCTCTCTTTTTTTTTTTTTTAATTAGTTAACAAAAGGAATTAAGCCACAGTTCTT